ACTAATGACCCGAAAAATCACCGTTGTTATTCAACTACAAGAACCTAATGACAAATCTACGAAAAACACACCCCCTTATAAAAATTATTAATCACTCATTCATTGATCTCCCTGCACCCTCTAATATTTCCGCATGATGAAACTTCGGCTCCCTCCTAGGAATTTGCCTAGGACTTCAAATCATCACAGGACTATTCTTAGCCATACACTACACATCAGACACAATAGCTGCATTTTCCTCCGTAGCACATATCTGCCGAGACGTAAACTACGGGTGAATCATCCGATATTTACATGCAAACGGAGCATCCATATTCTTCATCTGCCTATTTATACATGTAGACCGAGGCCTATACTATGACTCTTATACCTTCCTAGAGACATGAAATATTGGTATCCTACTATTATTTACCGTCATAGCAACAGCATTCATAGGTTATGTACTTCCATGAGGACAGATATCATTTTGAGGCGCCACTGTCATTACCAACCTCCTATCAGCTATCCCCTATATTGGCACCAACCTAGTTGAATGAATTTGAGGGGGCTTCTCAGTCGACAAAGCCACCCTTACACGAGTCTTCGTTTTCCACTTTATCCTCCCATTTGTGGTAACAGCCTTTGTAATTGTCCACCTCCTGTTTCTCCACGAAACCGGATCTAACAACCCATCAGGAATCTCTTCTGATACCGACAAAATTCCATTCCACCCATACTTCACAATCAAAGATATCCTAGGACTGATAATTTTATGCTACTCCTCATAATCCTAGTTCTCTTTATACCTGACCTCCTAGGAGACCCAGATAATTATACCCCAGCCAACCCCCTAAACACCCCACCCCATATCAAACCAGAGTGATACTTCTTATTTGCATACGCTATTTTACGATCCATTCCCAACAAACTAGGAGGTGTCCTAGCCCTAGTAATATCCATCCTAATTCTAGCCATTATCCCAATATTACACACATCTAAACAACGAAGCATAACCTTTCGTCCTCTCAGCCAATGCCTATTCTGAATACTAGTAGCTGACCTACTAACACTAACTTGAATCGGAGGCCAACCTGTTGAACATCCATTCATCATTATTG